ATAAGCCGGATCCAGTTCGAAGATTAAGGAACAAAGCAATCATGAAAACTAACTGAAATAGATAATTAGATAATTTTAGCTTATACCGTCCGTTATACATTAAACGCGCATGCGAAAACGTATTCTGCACTTGCGCACACGCATATGCGCAGTAGTAAAGGTCTTACGCGCATGCGTAAATGCCTGTGCGCATGTGCCAACGCAGCTCATGCGCAGAAAGTTTTTAGCTTTGAGGTCCGGATTATAGATCATTCTGGATTATGGGTGTCCGAATTAACGACTTTTGACTGTGTTCTCTTTTTCGAGCTTTTATAAAAGGAAAGTTATATAAACCATTTAGTAGGAATGAAACTTTTTTACAGCTCTCAGCTGATATTATGATGATGCATTATAATGTTGTGCTGCCGTTATTTACTTTCTTATACAACTGAATGAATTTTAAAATATTTATTCGTCTTGAATTTATTTCATAGCTCTAAAATTATTTTCGATTATATTTTGGCGAAATATATAGTTTGTTTTGAGAAGGAAAAATTATATCTCAAATGATTTTATCATTTCTATTTTAGAATAATGCCTGTTTATCCAGGAACATCTTAAAAAGAGTACAAGCGGTTATGATTTTAATGTAAGAAATTAACTGAATAAAATTAGGCTTTCAGTTATGGACTATTTCATCTATGAATGCATGAGAAACTTGTGAAATTTAAGTGTCTGCAAAGCGATTGTGCAAAAAAAAAAAAAAAATGCCATTGAATGTGTCGTTCCTTACCTTGCTAAAGAAAATTTAGAGCAAATAAGACAGTTCCTAGCACTTATAAAAGATGCTGAAACGATCGAAAACCGCGTTTAAAAACTTCAAAATGCAACTTCTGTGTAGTTAGTTCTTGAAAATAATATTTGAAATCTCTCCTGCAAAATTTTGATTAAAATATATATCAGTTAATCTGCGACAGATAATCAGACGAGTTTGAATTTCTTATTCTAATAGCACACTGAAAAACATATTATTCATTGACATATTTATTTCTTTTGCTGAACGAAAAGAAATTTGCTTCATATATTTGTAATAAAATGAGTCAAAAAACTGTCGTTGTGCTGAAGCCTATTTTATTTTTATTTATTTATTTGAAATTGGAACCATGGCTCTGCTCAGAACGGTGAAAAAATTGTTTAGTCGTGCAATCTTTTTGAAACATGTGTACATTACAACTATCTGGAATCTACTACCAAAATGCACTTTAATTAATGATAATTGCACATTCATTTAGTGAATACTGTATCAGGACTTGTGTTCCTCTTTACTTGCTTTGGAAACATGAACTGTCCTGACTCAAAACAGGGAGCTTACTAAAGCTATGTTCAATAAATTGGGAAGTAGACAATACACACAGGAAGGGTATATGAAACCCTTTATTTTTCTATCTTTACGCGATTTCCGGAACTTCGAAATACAGAGACCAACCACTTGTGGTCTGAACGTAAGAATATAAAAATACTAATTAAAAACTCTTAACTAAAACTAACTTTAGATTAAAGATTGGCCGTTATTTAACAAAAATCCGTATGTAGTACAGAGAGCTGCTAAAACTACGATACGTTTAAAATTATCAAGAGGATTAAACCTCTGGTCTTGAAGGCAACCAGCAAACGAGTAAAACTACTCTGGCCAGCGGCCTGCTTCTAATAACTCCTTCCTCTCTCTTGCTTGGCAAAAAGCCACAACTTAAGTACTTGGCATTAGCAAAGACAAATTTGCATAAATTAGTTAAAGATTTTAATTCTGGCCGGAAATAGAAAATAAGAAGTGATAGTAAAGATTTAAAATAAAATAAACGTTAGTAAAACTTAGGATCCTTACAACTGCATCTTTTTGTTACTCTATAATATCAAGAATACATTTTTAGAACTGGGAAAGAAAATATGAATTTCACAAATTTTTCGCATTTTACAAAATATTTAAGAATTAATAAAGCAATACTGAAATAAAATATGAAAAGATATTAAAACACAAAGTAAATGGTAACAAATGACCCAGATATAAAATAATTTTGCTTTTTTATAATACTTATTTCATCAATTCTTTTTTATTTGTCCCCAAATTGATTTCTTTCTCAATGTATTTTTATTCCGAAGGTGAATACCAAATCGTACAATTTGTATCATTGACAGTGACAAGAATAATATTACCACATTTGTATTAATTACAGAATATGAGCCAGTTTCGCTTAAAAAGTTCTCAGTTAAAACTTTACTGCTCTTAGGCACAGAGTCCAAGAGTATTAATTACGAGAATTAACATCACTGCAAATGTAAATCTACAATAGTAAGCATTGATTGTTATTGATGTCTATTAAAACATATAATATTATGATAATTATCTTCAAAAAGTGATACGCCCACCAACGGCCAAGCAGTAAATAATAATAGGGCTGAACACGGGTAGTTCGTTTTCGAATCCCAGCGAACCGGGCTGGTTGCATGGACGTTTTCGTGATTTTTCCATTATGTAACATGTATAGAAGCCATTTTCTCTTAGACATTTTTCCATGAAGGCCTGCATCCTTTGGCAGATAGCCTTCGAGCGCTTTTCAAGTAAACTAAACCAAAGAGAAATATTTCAAACGAAGCATAGATATTAAATTTTAAATAATTCTATTTTGTTCTTAGGCTGTGAAATTATTTGAGTGGACGTGAAGGAAGGATGCCATAAAAACTGCACATAAAATATTAATAAGATGTGAAAACTGATTTCAAGAAATACATGCATATAATTGGCTTTTTTAGTAAAAGAACCATAAATATTAATTAATGAATTTAAAAATAAAGGGTAAGTACCTAATTTAACATAGCTCATCAGTCCTTAGTCATAAATAATGTCCACTAGCGGCCGAGCAGTAACGTCACTGAACACTAGTAGTTTGATCTGGAATTGAGTTTTCCCACTTGTAACGTGAATACAAGCCAGTTTTCTTTAAAAAGTATTCCAAGAGGGCATCCCTTCCCATACAGAGACATCTCTCTCTTGTTTTAATTAACCGTAGTCTTAAATAACAAATTGTTTTCCCATCCCCCAAAGTCCTCAATGAAAGTTAAAGTTGTCTATCTTTATCTGAGCATCTAATTGTGTCATTTCAAATCTTGATATAGACAAATAATCAGAAATTCTTATTTCCTTTTTCGAAATTTTTTACATCACCCAGATCGCCATCATATTTTTTCCACCTTCGTATAATGCTTGCGGTGATTTTATAAAAAGCTATTTACATGTCTTTTCTACTAACAAGTATTTTTCATAATTATTTACTCTTACCTGCTGAGAATTTTATGTCCCAACCATTTCGAAATTTGGAAATAAACACATCTTCATAACAGTAAAATATTCATAGTCAAATATCGTCCGAACCCTTTTATTCGATAACACTTTCAGTAAAATGGAAATAATTTGCTTAGGGTAAAAAATGCATCATACGATTTCATGTACTTTCACTACTTTATTTTATCAACGCCAAAAAGCGATCTAATCAAATACGATATTATTTTGCGAATGATTTTCATATTATGCCAAGGAAGTTTCTTAGTAGTTCGTTTTAAACGAGAAATCAGAAGAGTTACAGGAGGTCGGAGGGAACGACAGTACAGAATATTCCGTTGTCAATGATTTTGAGACGGAAAATGTAAGGCAGAAAAGATTGTTTGAAACACTTTTGGATTCACCAAAACCTGGCAAAATAATCCGTGTGAGACGATTTGGAAAGCCATCTTTCAATATGGAAAAATCCGTTCGTAACGCTGAGAGGCTTAATCCGTATTGATATATAGGGATTAAAAGATACAGAAGGCAGTTTACTGAGAAGGGAAAAAAAATTATGGTGGGTTATTTTAAAATTTACTATGTAACTACTTTGAACTCATAATATGGAATAGAGCTGACCAAATCCAGATGCTGCACATATGTCTGATTTAAAATAAATATATCTGTACCAATTATCAGTCTTTTGTAATGCTATTAATATTGAACTTTTTTGCTATCAAACTGTACAAAATAACCTTCTGAGTGGCACAGGATTTTAGATCCATCATGAAGACCAGTATTTAAACAGCATTTATTAATTTAGTTTGTATAATTACTTATTTTAGTCTACATTTTCATAAAATTACTTTCATTAAGATGATATATTCATTATTAAAGAAAGTAAGAAAGCAAAATTTCTTAAATTATAGCCTAATATATACCAAGTAGCAAAACTTCTGATGACCGGATAAACCTGGTCATAACGCTGAGAGGGATAATAAAGATCAAACTGTAATAAATAACTGTGATTAAATGAATGTTTTTGCTAGATTTATCACTTTTCACACATATATTTTTGCTACAGCTTTCTGCATTTCATGTAAAACTTAATGTAGATAAGAACTTGTTGTTTTCCTATCTCTCTAGGCTTTTAAGTTTTTGTGTAATGTCTAGTCCTTTTTAAGCTTTTAGTGTTTTGCTATCTTGCAAAAGCATTCAGTTATAAATTTAATTTTAAATTTGTATTGCAGTTTTCTTTAAACTGATGATTTGTTAAGAATACTTAACTAAAATTGGTTAAACATATAAAGTAGCTTACATTCAAAGTAAATTTTTTACATAATGGCCTGTTAAATGCCCTGGGAGGTTGAAAGAAAGATATAACTAAGGAAGAAATTCAGCGAGAATAGTAAAATGTGATTTTCTTAATTTGCATTTTGTAATTGTTTTACAAATGAGTGTAAGTTTGTTATTCTAAATATTGAATTAATATTTAGAGTTTATTTTGTTCAAACAAAAATCTGTAATTGTGTAACTTTTCATTTTAATCATAAAATGATAATTATGAGTAATAATCATAAAACTATCATTATGAGTAATAAGAAAACAATTATTTGAAATGTAAAAGGTGTCTCTTATTTTAAAGTGTTTAATTTGACACATTACATTCTTTCATATCAAAGTTGATTCACTAACTATTTTTTAGGTTGTAGAATTGCAGTTATTTAAACAAGATGATAAAATGACTATTCCTTCTGCATTACCTTTTACCGAAACTTCATCTATTTGTGAAATGCATGGAAGCCAAAGAAATTATAATTTAAATGGTACAAATATACTTGAAAATGAAACAAGTGCTGATGAAAGTATTTCTTTTAAAATGGAAATGGATATAGATTCTTCAGACAGAAGTACAGAACTTCCTGCGTGTGTCAAAAAGGAGGTTGAGGGTGATACAATATCAAATGACAATGATAATATCTCAGCCAATATAAGCGGTGATAGTGAAAAACAACAGTGTTTAATATCTCAACCTATTACTGCCAATAATAGATCTGTTTTATCCAAAATAGCAGTTCCTAGCACTTCACTTAACAATACTTCTGTAGATATTGCTCCAAAATCTAAAGTGATCCCAAATGGTGTAAATACTACATATGTCAAATGTACTGATGCTGAAGGTAGAGTGTTGCTAGTCCCACAGTCTTCTCTATTATGTATTAAATCTGAAAAACTGAATGTTTCAAAGTCAACATCCAACATGGCAGGTAGCAATACTTCTTCCTGCATTAAACCTATCAGTGAGACACTTACCAATTCAAATGCTACTCTTCCGTCATATATTTTAAAGTTTGTTCCTGACCAAGACAGTGGACAAAATCAAGTTTTCCTTATTCCTGTGACAGAAAAAAAAGTACAGTGCACAGAGACTAATTTGCTACCTAAAGTCAAAAAAGAGATTTTAATGAAATCTAGCAACTCTTTAGAAAAAGGTCGTATCACATCTAAAGGAGAGATTCCCATTAAAAGTTCAAAACCTGATATTGACTGGGAGCAAGAATTAGATCAAATTAAGTAAGTACAGCAGTTTTTAAATGGTTTTTGTTTAGAATGGATATATTTTTTAATTGCATAATCTAGCAACTAGTATCTGTAATGATATAGTCTGTCCATGTTGGACAAAAATAGGAAGAATAAATTTTGATTCAGGCCTTCAGTTTCCTAGGTTATGTAAACAACCAGTTTTTCATGTGCTGACATAAAGTGCATGAAATGAAATTCTTTTGTGTTTTTTAATACCATTATATATGTTTATGTTAATGGTAACAAAAGTATATAATGTATATGTTAAAAATAGTATGTTTAATATTTCTTATTATCAGCCCATTTTTTATTGGGGGAGCATAATAGTTGGAAATTGTTAAACACATTGAAGAGCATGAATAACTAGAGATTCCATGTTTTAGCTAGCATTTATGCAACATTTTTAAGTAATGAAATAGTAGGATTATTGAAATCTTGATTTTCTAGATCAGTGGTTCTCAAACTTTTTATAGATTGAAACTATTATTAGTGACTAAAAATGTAATGGTTACTTACTAAATGGGTACTGATTATCCCTGAGTGATAAAGTATACTGATCATCAGCACCCCCGCCACGAAAAGCTACCGCTTTTTCAATTAGCAAAATGCATTTGTTTGGCTATCATTGTGGCTTGTAAGTAACATTCATAAAGAATAATAAAAAGGAAGGGGAAATATATGTGTGCCCATATTTACATTTTTATAGACAGTGTTCAACTTTGGCCTTCCAAAGTACTCAAGCGTGTGTGTAGTACTTACATGCATGGGTTGGCTGTTGCCTCATGCATACCAAGAAACACAGCAGTTCTACCAAATATTGAAACCAGTAATGCAGTTTAGAAAGTGCAGCATAATGTACTCTCTAAAGTAACATCATCCCAAATTTTGGTTTAAAAATTTTTAATCCTTAATCTTGAAATTATTGAAAGTGTTTGCCATCCACTGAAGAAATATATACTAACAAAAATGTCAAATGTGATGAAACTAAGTAAATAATTATGACTTTTACTGCCAATATATTATCTGTTACTAACATTTGGTATGATAAATTAGAGGTTCCTAAAATATATAATTTTACAAAAACAAAACCAAAAAAAAAAAAAAAAAATGTGGGAAAACTTTTTTGTTACCTTCATTAATTTGCCAAAATAAATATGAAAATAAATAAATAAACTCACAGTTCCTCTCTTCTAGTTGTCTTCTTTTTGAATATTATGTTTGTAGTTTTAATGGAACTGTAATTCTGGAGTTAGAAGTATGGAAAGAATTTGTGCATGATTGACTCAGATTTCTGATGTCTGGTTATTTAATTGAAACTTTTGAGAGGACTAGCTACAAATTTAGCTTATTGCAATACTTATTTTTAATCAAATCTAAAAATAAGTATTGTAATAGATTTAATTTGAGTCATAATACTCTCTTTCAAACATGAAATATGGGGATGAATGTGTCTGTAAAGATATAGCAGGGAATTTTGTAGCAGGATGCTCCAATAAGAGAACATATTAAGAAACAGATTTCGTATTCTGAGAAATCACATTACCATGCAATCAATTATAGTTTGTGCCTCCCCAGTGTAAATTCCAACATGCTTCTCTCAGTATAATTTACAAAGCCATTAAAAGTGCCAAATAGCTATACCTTTGTAATATTGTTTTGGAGTTTGTTCCCAGAATAAAGCACGTTCTGCCACAGCAAGGGTGAAATCAATTTATAAAACAATGCTAAACAGCTTTATATTTTTTTAGTCCATGTGTTTTACAGATGTCTGTATGCTTTATGGTGAAGCATTTTGTGGATTTCAGTTTACTGTTGAATTACACCTATAACACATTTGGCCACTCTTTTTCCATAAGGCACAGAGTAAAAATTGGACAGTGTAAAAATAATAATAAAAAAAGGGCGACAAATGATGAAAAATTTTTAAGAGTGTTATAGAATGGTGTACTCATGAAAGATTTGTTATATGCATTTTATTACTTTTAAAACAAAAAGAGGAAGTAAACAATGTAAAAAAGAGACCTTAGGCCTCCCCAACAAAACGCATGTGGCTTATTTCACTTTTTTTTGGGGGGGGCGGGCCCTAGAGCAGTAATACTAATTTTTAAAATAGTTATTTTTTTCTGTCCTGTAATATCTGTTTAAGTAAAATAAATCTGAGTTTATATTTTGAATTGAGTAACTGTTATGTGATAGATATATGAATTTGCACCTCTCTGTGAGGATAATGACGATAGGATTAAAATAGGGAAATGACCCAGTTTCAAGCTGGTATTATAAACTTTCCTGAATTAATTATAACAATGATTGGATTTGTGACTAGTTTTTGCTCTAGACATCATGACACCCTTAAACGCTTTTAAATTGATGTTACAAGCGAAAAATGCTCATGGTAAGGTAATTTGCCTATGATATCATGTTATTTGCATTTGACATTGTGTTTGGTAATAAGCATTAAATATGACTCTCTACCAAAGTAGTTTTCCAGCTCTTTCATCTCTTAAACTAATTTTCATGATTATTAATATTTAAACTAATTCTTAAACTGATTTTCATGATGATTACAGTCAGTCTTATGTTAGCTAGAATTTTATCTGAAAATAGTTTTTGCTAAAGACAGATTAAATAAATTATTGGAAGCTGTTTTATGATAAATAACTCTTAGATATGTAGCTTTTATTAATTTTTTTTTTTTTTTTTTTTTTTTTTTTTTTTTTTTTTTTTTCTGTAAGAAAATTCTAAATATTCTAGTGTGCAAACAGTTAAGAAAGAAAAACAGTGAAATTAATAGTTAGAACTGACTAAAAGAACAATCACGAAATTTCCGGACTCCAATATTCTTTGACATATTCATATACTCATCATGACATACTCCAAGCATGCAAGGAGGGTTTAAAACTCATTTTCCTGTGAAGGTCTGTTGCATTTTTTTGAATTCCTTCCTTGGTCCACATTGTAAACTTTTCCCCATAACCATCTCGGTTATATTATGCTATATTTTTTTCTTATTTCCAAAACTGCTCTTCTTTGTTGATCTGAAAACCTGTTCCATCCTTAATGTTTACCCACCAGAGGATAAACTGGCGCCAGCATCAAGTAATAAAATACAGGAACAGTATTTTATTACTTGATTCTGGCGCCAGTTAAAACATGAATAAATTATTATTATTGTTTTTATCAAGGCTGTGGAGTCGGTAGGGAAAATGACCGACTCCGACTCCCTCATATATACAGTGGCGGCCAAAATTGTGGACACTTTTGGAAATTTCTATGTTTTTGAACTTTGTATGCTTATAGAAAATGTTACGTTTCGCAAAATGCAAACTTGTATATATCATTTTAAAGAGAATTTATTACTGAATTCAATACAAAACACAAAATTCAATTATTTGCAATATAAAAAAGTTATATGTACTTTAATATAAATAAAAAAACACAGTTATGAAATGGTTTGTAATGTCTAGCTTTCCTGGCCAATCACTGTTCTTGTTCTGAAAACCAATCAAATGTTAGTAACTGCCAGTAGAAGCTGACATCATGTTAACACTTGAAACAATTCATTATTTTGCTTTGTTCTGTAGAAGGAGGACCTGTTTCTTATACACTGCAATTACAAAATTTTGTAAAAATTTTTAATATTTAGTCAAGAAGCAATGACATCAAATAAAAGAGTAGAGTGGACACCTAGAAAGAGATGTAATATTATTGTGTTACGAGAAAGTGGTCTTCCCTATGCTGAAATTGCAAGACGGGTGGTTCAGTGACTACATTTTGAGTCCGAAAGTTTTGTTTATGATATCAGGAGACAAATTCAATAAAAAAACAAAGAAGGAAAAGGCCGAAAAAGATGCACAACATCTATTGATGACGGAAGAATAAAAAGACTATGTCTCCAAGATGGAAAAATCTCATCAGCAGCCATCAGAAGTGATCTGAATGATGCTGGCGTTTCTGTCAGTTCAAGAACAAATCAGGAGAAGATTAACAGATGTTGGACTGAGATCCATGAAAAAAGCCTTATCTTAATTTCAGCAACAAAAAAAAAAAAAAAAAAAAAGACTACAGTGGGCAAAGGAACACATTAATTGGACAGATGATCAGTGGTCACAAGTTATATGGAATGATGAAACTAAGATATCGTTATTTGGTAGTGATGGGCGAAAATATGTAAGACGTAGAATAGGAGAAGAGCTACATCCTGACTGCATTCAAGCAACTGTGAAGAACCCAGTTAGTTTTATGATTTGGTCATGCATGTCAGCAGATGGTATTGGTCGCCTTCATGTCATCGATGGGACACTGAATGCCAGAAAATACATTTGACACTATTCTAGAACCAAAACTTCTACTTTCCATCAGAGATCTCTTTCCCAACAATGCTTTGTTTATTTTTCAGCAGGATTCTGCTCCTTGCCACACAGCCAAAATATCGAAAGAGTGGTTTCGTACAAAGAGCATTAAATTGTTGTCATGGCCAGGAAACAGTCCTGACCTCAATCCTATCGAAGATTTGTGGCACCGTTTGAAAACTCTTGTCCGAATGAGGTGCCCATCAAATAAAAGGGAACTAATTGAGGCTATAATTGTTTCCTGGCATCATGTAATAACGAAAGAAGAGCTTAAAAATCTTGTCAGCTCAATGAAACATCGATGTGAAGCTGTAATCCAAAATAATGGGTACCCTACTAAGTGCTGATAACTTACTGCAATCATCACTATCTAATGTATATCGATAACTATTATCGTTTAACTTTTTTTTTTTTTTTTTTTTTTTTTTTTTTTGTATTGCAAATAATTGAACTTTGTGTTTTGTATTGAATTCAGTAATAAATTTTCTTTAAAATGATATATACAAGTTTGCATTTTGTGAAACGTTTTATAAGCATACAAAGTTTGAAAACATAAAAATTTTCCAAAAAGTGTCCACAATTTTGGCCACCACTGTATATATATAAATTTTTTTAAAAGAATAAATAGTAAAATTAAATTTA